CACAGCTTTGTTTCTCAAGGTTGCATTTTGTGGTGTCTAATTTGTGGTTGAAGTTTCTGTATTCTCTTCAATCTGTCTCTCTTGTGATTTCTTATATGTTTTTCCACCTTCCATTAAGGGGTGAGCTCTCCAGATTTTATTAATGCCTTCTCAGTGTGGTGCATTAGCAGGATCTGCCTCTTCTCTGCTCAATATCCTATTTCCATTAAACTTGCAGGAATATACTGCGATATTTCCTCCTGTGAAATAAGTCTTGTGTGCCAACTAATCAGCGGTTCAATCAGTACTGTGGATCAAGACACATAAGTGGACAAGCATAGAAAGCAGACCAAAGTAGTCTTTCAAAGGCAATATTTGTCAGTAATGGGGTTGGTATTATACCTTATAAAGCATAGCCATTACAACTTTAGGGGAGGGATAAAGGGGAGAGAGAAGAGTTGACCTTTACCAGGATAGAGAGAGGAAGACAAACCACAATGCTGATACTCTAGCTTCCTGCACATTTAACACCGTGACTGATTGCAAAGAGGTTTCACAAAGATGGAGAACTGTCTGTACAGTGGCACAGCAAGGTTCTCTGAAGGTTTGGCCATATTTTGGGTCCGCTCGCAAATATAGTAGGAAGAATTGCTAATAATGAGAAAATATTTTAATTTGTAATTGGTAGGTTGATCTAATCCATAGGTACCTGTGTCATCTTTTTCTTTCTGATGTATTCATAATCATCGTTAACCATCACTTTTAGGAATATACTATGGTGTGATGCACCTCATCTGTTGATTATGCATTACTACTTTATAAATCACTTGTAAATAGAAATATTATTGGGAATCAACTAAAGGGAGAGAAAAGATGCCATGCTCATTTAATTGTCTTTATGCCATTAGCATCTTGCTGGATCAGAGACGATAGGGTGTTTGGATGCATCCAGAGAATAGTTTAGGAAGCCCTTTCTTAGGTATCTCTGCACTCTTACTTGCTGTAATCCAGATGAGACCAAAGGGTGATGTGCTTTTCTGCTCTCTGACCAGGAAATGACAGCTGAAACTTAACCCCAAATGTGGCTCCCATGAACAGAACATCATAGTATTACTAATGCAGTCAGGCTTTTATTTTCAGCTGGAAAGCGAGAGTACTTCTTAAACAGCTACGTGCCTCAATGTGCATGTTTTTAATCTTTGAGGCTCTGTGGTTAGCAGGTAATGAGTCCGATGTACTCTCTGGACAAGAGTGAAACTTGATTACCTGATTGTTCTTGTGCTTTTTTGATGCTTGGGAGGTGCAAGGATAGGCTCAGCTGGGAAGAGGAGACCAGGGGAAAAGATCTTCAGGGAGGTTGACTTTTCTCTTAGCTGAAAGATAAAAAATACAGCTGGAGGCTAGTACCTACTGCATTTTTTCCCTGTTTATAACCAGTCATTTAAGGACAGCTGTTACCTATTACACTGGAGTTTCGTATAGAGAGGCTGTAGTCGCTTCTCTTTGGTAGGTTTGATCCTGTATTCAGATCACTGACATAACCCCCTGATTGAAGCATTCATTTAGGTGCACACTAGCCTCAGGTGAGATAAAACACATTAAAGTCAGCTGTGAGAGGTAGTGGCCCCCTGCTTCTTGTTGTTTCTTTTTTCCAGCAAAGAGTTGTGCTCAACTTCCTTATCTTTGACCTAATACCCATCTGCCAGTAGGTTTGTGGCCAAAGCCCAGTGTAAAGCTTGGCTCAGATGTGGAGTACAGACCTGGTCTCTGTTACCTATGTGCCAATACAAAAGATAACTGTTTCGTCTGCAGCATTCAGAGATGGTGCAGTTAAAATGCAGAAGTTGTTTTGAGTTTTCCTGTTAGAGCAAACCCAAGTTCTTTAGACTGTGGCAATCTGCCTGTATAAAGAATTGGTTTTGTGTACTCTTGCAGGTCAGTTATCTTGCTCTCCTGTCCAGAAACTTGAATGTGTTATTAGGGTGCCCTCTTAATGTATATACAGCTATTGATGTTATTGTACTTTACATTCAAGCAATACCTTATTATATAAGAACCTCTCTGAGTAAAATAAGGGCTTCCAAAATCACTAGTCACTACTTAAAAGAGAGATGTGTCTTTTCACTGCTTTAGCCACATCATCTTTAAAAGGCAATGTAATGGTGCCTTATGGTGTGTAGAGTTTACAAGGCTAATCTGTCCTCAGTTACATGACAGAGCCTTTGATAAAGCAGCATCTCATATTAGATTAAACTGAGTCCAGAATGTTTTATGGGGCAATTTAATATACTGGATTGAAAGAGTTACTGTTTTTTAAGTGACTTTAAAAACTGAGGATTTAAGCAGCCATAAACAATGAAAAGGTTAACAGTGGGCACCAGCATCTGTTTTCTTGTCAAGGGTTCTGCTGTTTCCATTTTATTCTGAGTTGTTTGTGGCTTCGGGAGAGGGAGGATGCATACACCCAAAACAATAAGGAGCAGATTCTGCCGTTGGTTGGTTCTACAATCCATTGATTTGATTAGATGTGTACCAGTTTGCTTGAAGGACTCAATCTACAATCTTTAGCCATATAAGAAAAAATTCAGTACCTTCCTCAGATTCTTGGTGCTAGAGCACTTATTTAAGATGAAAATGGAAGCAACAATGCTCATTTATTGTTGGCATAGTTGTGATGTCACTGTTGGAAAGTTAAAAAGCACCAATTATAGCTGAAATCTGAAAGCTGTTTTATAATTTCACATGTACAACACAACTCCTTACTAGAGATTGTAGCCATGGCAGCAGCGGTTGCTGTGCTTTGTGAATAACAACTGTGTAGTTACCTTCTCTCAGTGAGAGAGAGGAATTTAGTAGTGATTTTTGTTAAGTACAAAGTTTTTAAAACCCTCTTCAAAAAACAAAACAAAACTGCATCTGTGTTTCCCGTTTTCTACACTATTAAAAAAGACTAGAAATGAAGAAAAAGATACTGGATATGGATGCAGGGAAAAAAAAAGGACAACTGTTATTTTAAATCCTGGCTGTTAAATTGTTTAGCTATGATGTGTCCTGCTTCTCCTGTAGTGTCCCCACCCCTTTTATTGTGTAATCAAATCCTGGCTGAATATCGGAATATGAGCATGAATTGGAAACAGAACAATAACCTGCCATTTTGGAAATTTTTATTCCTGCATTACATTTAAGGTCTGTAATACACTTTTAACCTTTTACATTTTCAAACATCTGTGCTAGTTGCTTATGTTCTCTCTCACACACTCATATTCACCTGAATCGAGTTCTCTCAGACACTATCCCTTTTCATCTAGGGACTGCTTGTTTGAATAAGGTATCTGGGATTACACAGGTGATTCGCAGGTTCACTTGCATGTGTTTGTCTGAATTCAGACTGTAGTGTCAAAATCTTAGCGAATCACAACATTAGACATGTTTACTTACAGAAATTGCAAATAGTAGGCTGCTATTTTTATAATTTTTTTTCTGTCTTGACTTTCAAGGAAAGCAGAACTAAACATCAAATGCTTTCGAGGCTTAAACTGAATGCCATATATTCATGTAATTTACATACTTGTAAACCCACAAAGAATTATGCATAAACATTCCTTAAAACCAACAGCTAGGAGATAAATTGAAAAAATGTATATACACAGAGAAAAATGAAGGGTCTAAAAGACAGAAGAGAAGGCCAATTGAACTGAGAAACAGAAGTATAGTAACAAGTTCTCAGGTTCCTACAGAATCAGTGTGTAGTCCGGAAACTTGCAGTCATTCCTCAGACCATTTGGAGCCAGTTGGAAAGTCATCAGTAGAGCATAGTGAATAATCCTTAAATGCCAGAATTACTTCTGTCTGAAAAATTAATACAATTTTGTGTCATTGCTGTAGTCTTCAGTCAATTCCAAATATGCAGAGCATTACACAGAAAGGTCATCTCATTTCATGGGAGTATTTGCCACATTACAATTCGATTTCATCTGATTTGGAATAAAATCCTTTTATTTTTCAGTCCTCTATGAAAGGGGGGAAACCTGAGGTTTTTCAGTCAAAGTTGATCTATAGGGTGCTGCAAGTTATGGTGCTTGGATGCTTTTGTCCTTGACTTTGGAGAAGTTTGCCTGATTTGCTTCCCCAGATCTATAGATTTTTAGAAAGGCTAATTACAATTACCGACTCAAGCTGTGATGTTCTAATGAGACAGAATAAAAGCTGTCTCTCTGACAGGAGGCAGACTCCAAAGTTTGAGGAAACTAGACTGCCTTTGGTTCTCTCTTAACTGAAGAGTAACTTTATCCAAAAATCCTGTGCAAGACTGACGCCAGTGTATGTGAACATCTAGTGTGTGCTATACACACTTATGTGTGCCCTTGAAGAGGTAAACTAAGCAGGAATGTCATACTACTAATAATATGGAAGATATCAAAGATCTACTCAAGACATTTTAATGATATTAGTTTCAAAACTAAGACATTTTCAAGGTAGTATTTATACCACCTGAAAATATGTTAGGGTTGTAAGTATAGCAGGTGTCCAATGAGTAGGGAGAAAGGTGGCTGTACTTATATTTCTTTGTGTACCTTGCTGAATTATGGCCAATGCTGCCTCTGCATATAATTTTCAACACACCAGCCTTGTCTGACTATGACAATAAAGAGGTAAAGGTGGATCACTTGCAAATCTCAAATGCAGTTGTAGTGAGCGTTAGCACTGCTGACATGCTAGATATCATTTAAAAGTAGGAATTATTTTTGTTGTTAGGCCTTGGAAGTAGCTTTTGACATTAATTGGGAAATATGACTTTGAATTAGTTTTTTTTGGATTTTGATTTTTGTCTTTTTAAAGAATAGCTGATGTATTTATATTATATTGTAACTGCACCTGTCTTTATTCTGTTTGTACAGAGCATAGTATGGTAAGAGCCTGATGCATGATAAAGCCTCCATCTCAACAGCAGTTAAAATAAATAATGATGTGTTCTGACATCGTTTTTGTTAATAGTCATCTATGTTGTTTTGTTCCCTCAGCTTTCTCTGTTAGAAGATGCAGGGTTTGGCGGTGTTCTTCTTTACATTGATCCTTGTGACTTACCAAAGGCTACAGATCTTGCTGATAAAGCTTTTATGGTTTCCTTGAACAGTGGAGGAGATCCCTCAACACCTGGTTATGCCAGTATTGGTAAGTACTGTTCAAGGCATATTCAGTTAATGGACATTTTAATTCTCTGTCGATTGTAAGTATGGGCTTTAAAACACTAAACCAAATCCTGCCAGAAATAGAAACCCTGAGTAAAGGAACACTGTGTAATGCAGCATGGCTCAAAAGATGGAATCCAATCTCAAAGTGCTTTACTCTGTAAACTCTTGGCACAAAGTCTGTACTCTAATTTATTTTGTTGCTTTTTTCATTTGTGCATTCACACACTGAACCATTATTTCTGCCTGCTTATTCTTATCTCATGAAAAAAAAAAAAGTATGAAGTATTAATCCAGTGGTTTCTGAGCAGGTTCCACGGGATCTGTCCCCACTGAAAGAAGTATTCTTCCCTTCATTCTGTCTTTCACTTTCATGGTATTGGTAATGGAAACATCTGGTCAATAGGTGCAGGTGCAGTGTAATCAGAAATTTATATTTGAAAATATTTAAGAAAAATTCATGTTCATAGTAGCTTTGTGCAATTATCACTTGAATAGGTTGTGTTCATTTAGCCTTGTCTCAGTTCTGCCTGGATAGACTTAGTTATCAATTATGCTTCTCTAAATACATGTATTTTCAAAGTATGGGAAATAAAGAATTGATTTTAAGAAATTACATAGTCTTTTAAAAAGTTTAAGGTTTTGCCTTTTTTTTTTTTTTTTTTTTTTAAAAAAATAAGGGCAATGTTAACAATAAATAGAAGCAGCAGCATATTTGACTTGTATACACTATTTAAATCTCCGTTCTGGCAGTTGAGTGAATGTGTGTTCTGCTTCTGTGCTGCCTTTTCAGCTTTACAACCTTTTTTATTATCTAACTATTTGGAAATGTATTAAGCAGCAGCCTATGAGTTTGTGACAAGGCTTCATCAAGAATATTTGGTTCGGTTACTAGCTCAGACATCTGAAGTCTGACTTGAATTGGCACTAAATCAACTAAGGCTATGCTGAGATACTTCATGACTAGAATGGCAGAAAATAGAAATATTTGCCTGGTTGTCATCGAAGGGTGTTAGCTATTCACAGCATGAATGCCTTGACAGCTCAGTGGGAAAGAAATTGCACATTTTCTCAGTGTCTCAGTGTACCTGACCCAGTGTTCTTAAAAGTGCCCTGGGAGCTACAGAGGTAAATATAACACTCTTCAGGCTTTATTCTTGCTCATTTCATGGAGCTGTTTGAAAAACAGTTTGTCGCTTATCTGTTTGGCTGACTCCTTAATGTTTTATTTACCCTACATGAAAACTAAAGCTAATTAAAACAGATACACCAACATGAAGATGCCACTTCAGTGTCTAAACCTTATGCATTGGTTTTCTGTCAGTAAATGATCTCATTGGCAGTGTGCGTTCCAATCTCCAGTTTGAGAAAAAGAAGCTTAATTATATGGAAAATGGTGATATCCTTATAAGTACATTGATGGTTTCTACTTGAACCCTTAATGTGGCTTGTCTGTGGTTTTAAATCTCTGAGCATCGTTCATAAGAAGGAATAGACTATCAGGTCCCTAAGATCATTTATATTTTGGTCATTGAATGCAATGATGAGCTGGAAAGAGCTCAAAGGAACACTTGAGGAAATTCTTTTTTACAGTTCTGTAACTAGAAGGTAGATCAGATGGAAGTAATTTCTGTGTTTCTGATGATGGTTTTCTTCTCTGGAGACTATGAATCAATTTGGTTAGAGATATCTTATGCCTGGGACAAATACAAATACGTCTGGAGCGCAGACTTTTGCCTAAGGGATGCGCTTGCATATAAGGTAGTTAAACTGACTACACGTAGAATAAAAGTGCCAGATACCCAGCGCTGCCCCGTCACTTTGATTCACAGAGTATAACATGCACCACAAGAGATTTTATTGGAAGCTCCTGCTTAAGTTATTGGCATATCTTTGATACCATCTGCACTTCACACGTTGCCAAAAGAACTGTTACTATTACAATCCCAGGGACTACTCCTACCACCATTCTCCCTTTTACTAGGAAATTGCTAGTATGATGAGTGACCTAAAGGTAGTCTTGTATTAGGTGAATATAAGGTAGGAAACTTGTATTTTCATGATGCTGCCTATGCTTCTTACATTCTTTTAGTCTGAAAACAAATTTCTCTGTGGTGTCAGAGTACTGGACTACTTTAGGTTTTTCCTGGAAAAAAAAAAATCTTCGTGAAATTATATAGCACAAAGTTAATAGCATTTTCAAATGGGGTTTATGTAATATTTCAGAGAACTTTGCGGTGAGGTTTTAGCTCAAATTTTCTGTTTCATCAAGATTAAATGCTGCACTTCTGCATACGAATTATTTTAGAATGTACAGAAATAGCTTGAGGATGTGTTTGAGGTGTCTACTACCTATGAGTGAACTGATTTTTTCTGATCTCTGCTTAATAAAGGGGAAAAAAGTAATGATGTGGAAAGGGAAGTCAGCAGCAGTTATGTAAAAGTTTCTGCAGCTTTGAGAGTTTAATTCTATAGTTCTTAAGACTTTCCCAATCCTATGTCATATCAGTCCTGAAACAATCATATGAGCCTTTGTGAGCATAGATTCTGTCACCTTGATTCTGATTGTCAAAGACTCATATTCTCCATTTTTAGAAATCTTTCTTCTATGTTCCTGCTTTTGAAATGAAACAGATCAGTGGGTGGGACTCCAGGAATTAAACATATGGGATTAAAAAGCTTGAGAGAGACATAAGAGACTTATATGGCAAAAATTATCCTGAAAATAAAGTTTAGAATAGCATAAAATTTGAGTGACTTCCTCCATCTACTTTTTTTTTCATTTAGACTTTTTAAATGCTGCACTTCGTTTCACCTACCTTTGTATGGCAGAGACACATTAGATTTCTCTATTACTGTACTTCAGAGCCATTTTAAATCAAATTTGTTTCCACAAAGGAAATGGCTCAGTAAACAAAAATATGGAGAGAACCTAAGTGTCAATCCTAGTATGTAAATATAAAAGTGGCATTGTGATAAGCATTAAGACCCCTGCCCCTGAGATAAGGTACCTCATAATAGAATCCCTATCTGTGCAGTGGTGGAATAGAAATTACTTCATGAAGAATACAGACAGCATCATAGAAAATACTGTGAGCTTAAAAATACTGAAATATAACAGCTGTAAAATACAATCTTATACTATCAGCTGGAGTTTCAAGCATAATGTTGTTTTAGAGAATTGTTATGCAGAGGTTATAACAGTAAGGCAAAGTGGTATATTTGGAAGTAGTCCGTGCTTCAGGTCATTGTTAACAGCTAGTTGTGTGAGCCATATCACGGGGATTTGGGTGAACAATCAGTAACGCAGGGAAAATGCAGTGTCGCTAGAATTGTGAAGAGTGAATGTTATTCAGCCAGAGGAATTGACATGAGCATTCCTCAAACATTGCTATAATAGGATTTGATTTCAGAGGAAAGGACAAGGAAGGTGGGGAACTGGTGAGGTGTTGATCTACTGCAGGCCACAGCTGAGCCCATCAGTGAAGTTGGTGATGTCTCTGAAAACATATTTAAGAAAGCACAGGAATGCTGGGCAGGCAGGGGAGTGAAACTGAGCCTGGAAAAAGGCAGGGTGAAGGTGCTGCATTAATCTTGTTGGGTTTGTTTCTCACTGTCCAAATATGTTTTAATTGGCAATAGTTAACTCTGTTTTGCCTGACAGTCATTGATGTGATCTCTCTGTCTTTATCTCAACCAATGAGCTTTTCCATCTTATTTTCTGCCCCTATCCTGTTGAGTAGGGGGAGTGAGAGTGCAGGTAGGTAGGTGTCTGGAAGCTGGCCAAGGTTAACCCATCACACTGTGTTCTCCATGTTTTGATAAATGACAGCAAAAGTTAAAGAACACCAAATATGCATCATAAAAAGCCCATGGCATTTATTGCTTTAGTCATGTGTCATTCTTCCACTGAGCTTAGCCATTTCTTCTGCAGTGAACACAGGAAACTGCTACTACCACTGCTTAGAATAAGCAGTAAGTACATGCTGTGATACAAATGTATGTCTACTTTATTTTTAGTTAGCCCTGTGATTCTGTATGTTTAAGTGCTTCCTGCCTCTTATCTGAGTTCGTCCTTACTGTCCTTTACTTCACGATATTTTACTCCTCTGAAGCAACTAGCTGAGCAGAAGTTAACTAGAAAATAGAACATTGTGTAACAGTTTTAACCATGCATATGCAACATATGTTCTAAAATATTTTGTTATAAATCATTGTGACTTTTTACAAGATGTCCTCAGCCCTGGTTTGTCTGTTCTTTTAAAGAACAAAACACAGTTTTTGAATAGTTTGTCTATGCTTGCCTTTGCACTCGTGGAAATGATCTTGGGAATATTTTATCATTTTTTTCCCCAAAAATTTTTGTTTATGCTAATAACATCAGATAAATGAAATACAAAGATAACTTGGTGTAAAATGACAGTCTACATTCAGGCTTCTGGGTTTTTTTGTTTTATTTTCCTTAAGGGCAGACTGAAGGTGGGGAGAAAGAAAAGTTTATAATGCCATATTGTAATTTAAGGGGATGTATATATATGTTTGCATCTACTCTTGATCATTCTATTTTTTACTTCTGACATAATTTTAGTGGTTGCCATAAAAAAACCCCCACACTTTGTCCTTACCAACTACACTACTCTGATATATGGTGTTATTTTCTGTATGAAAAAATCTGTGCTAATACAATAGAGAGGTAAATCTTTAGAAAATACTGGCATTTGAATAGTGAGCACAGTAAGTAATAATTTCAGCAGATTTTCAATAATACCTCTAGCACTAAGGGTTCAAAAGGTATCTGAATCCATGATCTGCCTCTTCAGATTTTGCAGGATACAATAAAGGAACTAAATTTGTATTTAAGTACCAGATTACATGCTCTGAGTTTTTGGATGTTGTGGGGTTTAGTTTTTCCTCCTGTCTGGCTTTCAGTTTGTGTTGCATGTATTTAAAACTGAGAAAATCAGTTGGATGTCAAGATATTTT